CTCGTGCAGAATCTGCTGCCGAATCTGTGTCGACAACCCTCCGAAGCAAGCGCTCCGACGGCAGCCTTCAAGGGGGCTCTGTAGATGCCGGTAGTACACCTGGCCATTCCCTCCGCTACGGCACGCGACCAAAGTATCTGCGTAGCCGGGGCGCCAGCCAGCGATCCTCCGTCTCCTCTTTCATCACCAACCCCGATACCCACGATGAACTTGAGAGCGAAGGCACTGCGAATCTTGGCGCGGATTTCGCCCTACAATCTGGAGGTGCAGCCGGCACGCTGAGCCTACCCCGCAGTCTTAGCAGCATCCTGTCGCGCTCCGTGAGCATCGGCAGCATGGCCTCGGGCTTGGACGAGCCCGAATCGCTACCTAGTCAACTTGAGACACTTGAAGAGGACGACAACCGGTTCTCGCCGCGCCGATCAGCCCGAAACGAAGATCTTCTGGCCACCCCGAAACCTTCCAAGGAGAATTTAACTGCGCCCACCGATACTGTCATCGCCCGGCATGTTAGGAATGTGCAGGTCCCTGAGTCGTTGGCCATGGAGTACAGGACCAAGAGCGGCTTTGTGACGCCCCGCAAGCCCTCAGACATGCCGCTTGGCGCCTCCACGAGGTCGGGTAAGAACCTGACACTCAAGGAGCAGAGCAGCACTATTGAGCGTCTGTCCAAGGAGAACTTTGACCTGAAGCTGAAGGTCATGTTCCTCAGCGATCGCCTTGACAAGCTATCCGAAGAGGGTGTTAAGGAGATGATCTCGGAAAACGTGGAACTCAAGACGAGCCTCGCCGTCATCCAGCGTGATAACAAGGCCTTGCGAAGGCGGGTCAAGGAGTTGGAGAAGCAGCTGAAAGACGATCAGGATCGCCCCGGAACAGCAAAGAGTGGCGGATCGTCAAACGACAGCTCCTCTAACTTGGATGCTCAGGAACGCGAGGAGGAGTTGACATACTTGCGAGAGCGCGTCGAAGAATACATCACTGAGATTGAGAGGCTTCGGAACGATAATATGTCAAAGGAGGCAGAAAAGCGTAAGCTCAGTGAGGTGGTCAGGTCGCTAGGCGAGAGGACCAGCGGCAATCTCGGCAGTCAGGAAGAGGCCGACGTATGGAAGGACCTTCTCGAGCAGGAGACGGCTCGACGCGAGCAGTCTGACGAGGACAACCGTAAGCTGCGTGACGAGATCTTCCGCATGAAACAGGAAGCCAGTGGCGGCCACGGTGGCATGCACCACACCACCAACATCTACAACATCACCAAGAAGCACAGACAAGTCTCTCCAAGTCGCCCTGTGTCCGGTCTATCCGGTGATCTTGAAACGAATGGTGGCTTTAGTGCGGCAAGTACGTTGGTGGATGAACTCAGGAGAGAAAGTGAGCAACTACGACACGAAAACGCCGAGTTGAGGCGCGAGGTTGGAGCGCAAACATCCATGCTCACGTCGAGGAACCGTGAAAAGGAGCGGTTATACCAGGAGATTGAGGATCTGAAGATGGCGCAGCGGCGAGGAGGACCAGCACCATCCACGGTGGACTCCCTCCTTGAGCGTTCAGCATCTCGCGCCGGCGCCCACCACCGGTCGATGTCAAGAGTCAGCGCCAGTAGGACGCAAATGACAGAGATTGATGAGCTGGAGCGCGAGGAGTTGGAGAACAAACTCGCCGAAACGCGCGACAAGATCAGCGAGATCAAATTACAGAACCAAGAGCTCCAACGGGAGCTCGAGGGATGCATGGCAGACTTTGAGACAGCAGTCGAAGGTAAGAGCCAAGCTGAGGAAATCGCCGTCACACTCCAGGAAGATCTTGACAACGCCATGAACGACCTCGTGGCTTTGCAGGCCGAGAGGGATGAAGCACTCAGGGAGCAGGCGGATATGGAGACGGAATTCGAATCGCTGCGGAAAGAAGCCCAGGAGGAAATCGATGCATTGGAGGGCGAGGCCGACCAACGAAACGACGAGATACAAAGGCTGCAGTTTGAGCTCAATGACCGCACAGAAAACTTCGATGCCTTGCAGGAGGAAATGCGCAAGATGAGCGAAGCGCTACTGGGATTGGAGGACGAACAAGCAGCCAAGCTTGGCAGGATCAAGCAACTAGAGCAAGAACTCGCAGAAGCCAACAAGGAGTCAGAAGAGCTCGAATCCAAGCTGCTCGAGTCCAACGACAAGGCTCAGCGGCTCAGCGTACAACAAGAATCCAGCCAGGGCGAGATTGCTTTCTTGCGCGAAGAGCAGGAAGGCGACAAGATCCGCATCGGCGACCTCGAGGCAGCTCTCGCTAATACCGAGCAGAGCTTGCGCGACGAGCGCGACAGGATCAAGGAGCTGGAGCAGCGTCTTGTTACCGAGCGCCGCCAACACGAGATGGTCTCCAATCAGGAGAAGGAAGAGGTAACGCAGTTTGTCAATGAGCTCAATCGTGAGATGTCGGCTGCCAAAGACGAAGCCCGGAGGTTGCGTAAGAGTCTCACCTCACGCGAAGTTGAGGCAACTGAATGGAAGGAGCGGCTCATGGAGTTGGAGAACAATCTCAGAGAGGCACTGGGCGATCTTAACGGGACACGATCCAGCCTTCTCAAGGTAAGCTAGCCAACAAACCCCAGCAGAGACGCATGCACTAACAAACACAGTCGATTGCAAAGCTTCAGCGCGAGTTGGAGAACACCGTTCGCGAGCTGGACACCACCAAGGCCTCGCTCGTTGAAAAGGATCGTATCATTAAGCAGCGCGACGCCTTGCTTGAGTCTCACGGCCTGGAGTCTCGCAAACTTGGGGGAGAGCTCGAAAAGGAGAGACAGGCGCATCGGACGACGAAAAACCAGTTTGAGACATTTCAGAAGACACACTTGCACGTGTCGAGAACTGTCAGCACACAGGACCTACGCATCTCGGAGCTTGAATCCTCGCGGACCCAAGACAAGAAGAAGATTTCGCATCTCGAGGCAACGTTCCGAGATCAGCTCACTGAGCGCAACAACTTGCTGCTTGTGCTGTGGACCCGACTTTCGGCCCTTTGTGGCACTGACTGGGCGCACGACAACAGTCTCATCAATGGGCGCGCGCTGCCTTCCCTGGAGGCTGTGGCGACTATGCTGCCTGGTTTCAGTAAGAACTTGCTGGGCGCTATCAAGATGATCGAGACCATGGTGGGCGGGTTCTCGTCTCGCGTCAAGGGCGTGGAACGAGACTTGTGGCGCGAGTATCAGAGCCTCGAGAACAACCTCGAGATCCGGTCTAAGAAACTAGAGCGGCTGGAGACGATTGTACGCAACAGCATAGCATCCGGATCCCTCGGGTCCTATGAGCAGGCCAGAATGGAGCGCCTCGAGGACGCCTATCGCCAACTCAAGGTTGAGAATGCGACGCTACGAACCGCTCAGGACGTCAGGAGTCGGGCTGCCTATTCAGCAACCAACGATCCCAGCGCGGTTATCACTGAGCCCGGCAGCGGAAGCCCGTCGCCGTCCATTCCCACGGGTCCTCGAGAGCGAGAGAGGAAGCCTCGCAAGAGCGAGAGAACATCGACAATGACACGCAGCGTTTCCAGCCATACGGTGACAACGCCTGGGTCAACTAATCACAACCCATTTGAAGCCACGTTGGCTGAGAGAGACCCCGCAGACAACCGCTGGATATTTAAGCTTCGCGACCTGGAGAACAAGCTAAAGGCTGAGCGCGAAGGCCGCTCACAGGACCGTAATGCGGCAAGACAGCGGCTGGGCGGACTCGAGACAGAAAACCGTGATTTACGGACGGAGGTGAATCGCATACGCAGAGCCAACGGACAGTTGGGGGACAGCTGAAAGAATAGAGTTGGCTGAGATTGCGTTGCGGAGGTTTCATTTGTATTCGCTCAACCTCTTGTACCAACAGCAGAGCCGGAATGTGTGGGCCAACGTCTCTTTTGTTTTCGTTGTTTTTGTATTTCCATTCTTCTCAGCATTTGTAATTTCAGCGACGAACGGCCTTTGCTGGGGATCTGGAGGAGTTTTGCGGACAGGCCGCCTTTTGGGTACAACAGTCTAATACCAAAGCCTCTCTGTCTGGCGTTGTTTGTCAGCCTTGCCTCCCAGGAACAACACGGCATTACATAACACCTCTCTTGTGCTTCGATGAGTAGTTTAAAGGGGTCAATGTTTGGCCTTCGTTTTTTCAACCTAGTGTACCTATAGACATGGTATTTGGCTTCTTGCGTGTGGCGGGACTGCGGCTTCGGACTTTCCGTTCCCGTGGGGCTCTCCCGACTCTGTCCCGCACTGTCCCGCACTGTCTGCGGGGTTCCCTCCGCCGTCACTTTCGCGCGAGTCTGGCCACCCATCTTAGCTCAAGCAGTCGTCCCGTAATTGACGAATGCCTACTGGCTGCGATTTCGAACTCTCTCACGCGCAGAGAGCACAACGGGACGATGCATGTCATTATGCACCACAAGACCGACTGGAGCGGGGCAGAGCGGGGCTCCGCAATGATCTTGCTCGTTATGGATGTCCGCCATGAACGTGGGGGATCCGGGGTGTGATCTTCGGGTGGGAACGTAAGCAAGATACTCGGTCTTTCTCTCTAGGTTCCTCGGACTGGTCTTGCGGCATTGCCAACTTTAGAAGGCCGACCACGTCGAGGGCGATGTCACGAAGTGGGTGTTGGCATTGGGCCTTCTCCTATGGTATAAGAGGCCAATCGGACCTGCTTTTGTGGATGATTCTCGAATGCATCATCATCGGCGAGGTTGACGGGGTCAATATTCGACGAATAGCATATTTGGCCATGTTGTAAAATGAGAGTACTTCCCGTTTTCCATTATTTTACTTCCTCTCTCAAGCTGGACAAATTCATTACGTGAGACTCTCTACCAAGACCCTATTTCGAGACTCGTCTTGAAGAAGGCACTACATCCACATCATCAACAGACCACCAAAAATGTTCCGTCTTCACAGCCTGTCTCGGGGTCGGTCACACGCCCTTCTCCGCATCCCATCATCACAATGCCGAACTGTCATGATGGGCGCCGCAGCGCCAAAAAAGGAAGGCGACATCTCCTCCGTCTTCGTCTCTCTATCGGGCACCGCCCATGAAGCACTGCCGGACCGTTTCCGTGTGCTCAAGGAGGACCTCATCGCGGGTCACGAGGACGCCGTCGTTGCGTCCTGGCCCCGGCTTCTGCATGCTTTGCGGGAGGAAAACCAAGTCATCCGGGAAAAGGGACCCGCCATCATCCCGAGCGTTGAGTTCAAGGACTTGGAGGGCGATATTGAGAGGTTGAAGGGCGATATTCGCAAGCGTGGCGCCGCTGTCGTTCGTGGTGTCGTTGATGAGAAGGAGGCTAGAGGATACAAAGAGGAGGTTGAGGAATATGTCAGGAAGAACCCGTCCACAAAAGGTAAGCTATCTACGATATGCATACAGCTATTACCTCTCTTCTCCTTCACCTCTCATTTACTTTTCTGCAAATGAACCCGGAACTGACTAACTCTTCATAAAAAAGCTTTCCCTGCAGACAATCCCCAAGTCTACGAGCTCTACTGGTCTCACCCGCAACTTAAAGCCCGCTCGCATCCCAATATGCTCAAAGTTCAGTCGACCCTCATGGGCTCCCTCTGGAACAAGTCCCCCTCGGCCGCCATCTCTCTGCAGCCTCTAACCTACGCCGACCGCCTTCGCATCCGCCAGCCCGGTGACGCAACGTTCGCCCTCGGCCCACACATTGACGGCGGATCCGTGGAGAGATGGGAACGCGAAGGGTATGGCAAGGCCGGGACCTACGATGCCGTCTTCCGAGGCGAGTGGGAGAATTACGACCCGTGGGACGTCAGCGCTCGCGTCGAGGCCGTCCAAGACTTGTACAACGGTGCCGGTGCATGCAGCATGTTTCGCATGTTCCAGGGCTGGCTGAGCCTGAGCTCGTGTGGGCCGAGGGAGGGGACCTTGTTAGTGAACCCGCTAGTACAGCTCTCGACCGCCTACTTTCTCCTCCGACCGTACTTCCAACCACGCAAGGAACTCTCTGCGAGTGGCAGCGGGGGCATCGCGGGAGGAGGGGAAGAGTTCTTGCGAGAGGAGAACTGGGCGTTTACGGGCGGCGAGGCGATGAGTAGCGAGCTACAAGGAGCGACGCCGGGACACGGACAGGAGCTCAGTGAGGCATTGCACCCGCATCTGGAGCTTGACGGCACAATGGTTCATATTCCGCGCATCAAGCCTGGCGACTTTGTCGTTTGGCACGCGGACCAGATCCACGCCGTCGACAAGGTCCACCAGGGACAGGGCGACTCGAGTGTTATGTACATCCCTGTGTGTCCGGCGACGGATCTGAATGTCGGGTACTTGGCGAGGCAGAGGGAGGCGTTTCTTGAAGGGCTGCCAGGGCCGGATTTCCCCGGCGGAAAGGGGGAAAGCGAGCACGTTGGGAGGCCTGGAGAGGACGCCATCCAGGGGGTGGAGGCGAGGCGGGCGATGGGATTAGAAAAGTTGGTATGCGCTGGAGATGGCCATGGAGAGAGGGATCTGATCCACAGGGCGAACAAAGTCCTGGGGGTTTGAAAACCTAACGAAAAGGGGTATCTGATTTGGTGGAGGTCCTGGCTGAAGTATAAAGCTAATGAGAAGAAGTGAGCATATATGTTTGGCCTATCACTTGAATCGCCGCACACAAAATCATGTTTAATGTCTTTTCTCTGGACCTACCTATATGTCGTTCTTCTTCTTGCTCAGTACGAAACCATAGTAGTCAAACGCACTCTCCCCGCCAGAGAGGACATCCATGTCCATGTCCCAAAGATTGTCAGCATTTAGCAGCGGCCGCATGAAGTGAGGCTGTCTGTAGGTGATGTACAGAAACACCCCGTCGTCCTTGAGGGCACGGTGGACCTCGCCGAGGTACTTGGCCGTGTTCTCACGAACGTCGTCTGGAGGCGACCACGGACTCCCGTGGATCATGGCGTCGAGGGTACCCTTATCAAAAGCGACGTCGACAGAGGCAGTCGGCGCGGCATCGGGCATATCGCGAACGTCGGCCCATTTCCACTCTATGCTAGCGACGTCGGCGTGTCGTTGTCTCATGAGGTCGACGACGACAGTGGAGAAGTCTAGGCAGAGCTGGTTCTCGTAACCGCGTGCCGAGAGGTCGGCGGGGATGGTCTATGGTGGAAATGGTGAGTGGTGGATTTGGGCCAGAGGTCAGACGTGTGTGAGTGATGAGTGATAAAGATGAAGCAAAGGTGGCAGCCAGGGTGAAAAGTGAGGAAGTGACAAACAAGGCGAGAAGATAAAGTGAATTTGGAGGCGATGGGCACATGGTACATACACTATCCCCGGATCCGAGGTGCATTATACGTGGGGAGGTGTCGGGGCGATGCTGGGAAAAGAGATGCTTCTCAAAGAACGGCTCGAGGGCTTTGAATGTGCGGAACCATTCGTGGGTCGGATGCGAGCCATCCGACTTGGTATAACGCTGATTCCAAAACTCGGGGGTGGCCAGAGCCTCAGCCTCGCTTAGTTCTGCCATACCTACGGTGCCAGGTGTTACGGAAATCCGAAAGATGATGAGGTTGTGTCACAGCAATCGGTGATGTGAGTTGACGGCGGTGGAGGACACATATACAAGGTGTCGGAACGAGATGAGATGGCAGGTATATGAAAGAGAGTGAGGGTGTCAGTGAGAGTGAGAGTGAGAGAGACTGGCGGTATAAGTGAGGCCTGGGTAAGGTGAAAAAAGACACCAGATGAGTGAGCGAGAAGATGAGAGCCGGTCGCGTCGTGGAGGGGTCGAAAAAGATTGCAGCCCCGCGACGAGACGAGCGATGGTGGGGGCGGGGCACTGGCAAGCTCGGATTGGGAATTCCAATTGGTCAATGGACACATTACCTAATCAACACACATGTCCTTCGCCATGGAATTGAGGGGCTCATTCAATCCATTGTATCAAAGGTCGATTGATGCAGCTCAAGGTCATCAAAGTCATCAGATAATGATTACCCATGTGACGTATCAAAGTGTCAAGAATAGTCATTAAGCTCGTTCAATTCATCAACTTTTTGTATATCCATGACCTGCCCGATTCCAGAGTCCTTTGCACGCCATCTCGTGACAATTCAACATGTTTCTCTCGCTTCATCTATCGCTGGATCCTCCTGACGTCCAGCGCTTCAAACTCATCGAGTGGGACACCATTGCGCCTTACTGTTGCTGTGTGATAGGAGCCGCAAAGGGGGTGAGGTAGTCGCTCTTGCCGATCTGAACGCCCTTGGCGCGGAGGATGCCGTAGGCCGTGGAAATGTGGAAGAAGAAGTTGGGCATTCCGTAGGCGACGAGGTAGTCGCGAGCCTTGATCTGCACCTCGCCCTTGCCGAATCCGAGTCCAAGGGGCACGAGGGCATCGGTGCGAGCCTCGAATGTCTTGGGGTCGGCGGCCTTGACAACGGTAATGGTGTGCTCGACGCGCTGGCGCAGGTCGTCGAGGCTGGCAAACTCCCTGCCCAGGGCCTCGGGCTCGGTGCCCTGGACGCGGGCGACAATCTTGATGGCGCAGTCGGCCGCGACAAAGAACTGGAAGCTGAAGGGCAGCATGTCATCCGCCAACTTCCAGTCGAGAATCTCCTTGGAGTCAATAGACTTTTCCTTGGCGTACTCCTCGGCTTTGGTGATGATGTTCAGGAGCGAGTTGAGACCCGCAAGGAGGAGGGGGACGGACGCGTCGTACAGAGTGTAGGCCATGTTTGCGGTTGTTGGTGGGGTGAATGTTGATGTTGACGATTGATGGGAAGGGTTGTTGTTGTGGTGCTTCAAGAGGCTTGCAAGAATGTTGTTGGGTCGGTGAGGGCCTAGAAGCTTTATATGTCCTCTGCCGCCATTCACTTGACAGCAGAAAGCAGTCCCACGAAAGAGCGGTGGAAGCAGGAAGCGTTTGGAGCTGATCCAAAGCCCCTGACCTGGTGCAGGTAGCTGGTGATCGGGCGTTTCTGTCCAGTTCGACGAGCGGGTCTGCTTGACTAATGCGCCGGGGCGGGTTGGAGTGTTGTAGTACTGGGGAACGCAACACAGCAACCGTCATGCTCACATACCGATCTCACTCTGCAGCCCTCGTATAATGCTCTTGAAACTCTGGCCCATTTGCGGCCCCTTTCGTTATGCGTGAGCACTCGCGCGGCCCATGCCGGGGCTGCTTCTTGGTCTCCCACTTGGTAGGTAAAGTTAGCCGATGACCAGGCCCCCCATCGTGAGTGGTGAACAGCTTACAAGGCCGGTCTCTGTACGGATACCCAGGCCGAGGGTTGCCAGCTTGCTTCGGAACTCGGGTCAGAGAAATGCCATAGCGAACAGAGCAGGATGGGCGGCGGGGCCCAGAAACGGAGCCCCCGCTGACAAATGCCTCTTCCTCGTCTCACTCGTTCAGGCTTCCCTCACCCACCCTCTGCAGTACGAACCCCGAGTCGCGGCAGCGGGCTGCGGGGACCGGGTAGGAGAGCCAGTCCTTGTGCATGTGCCTCGGGGCTAGTTGCATCCGAGCTGTTGCAGATCCTTAGTCTTAGTGGCACTGAGAGTCGATGCTTAGAAATCCAAACGGCTGCAGTCTGCTAGGACAGAATCCATCAAGGTGAAAGGATTCTAGTCGACTAGATATGTTCAGCAAAGGAATGAATAAACCGATATAGAGGTACACTTCAAGACATGGGACATACAAATACTTCACGAGCCTCAGATGGCAGATCTAATGTTATATGAGACAAGAACCAATCGGGACTGGGATGCAGACAGCGGCCCCAGAAGCTTAAATGGACGAAGACACCTCGCACTCTGCAAATAAGGAGATGGATTGGACATTCGTCATGAAGCTATGCTATGGCGTGCTTATCAAAAAGAAGCACTCAAGACTTGTAAAGCCAGCACAAAAACCATGTGCATTTGTGTGTATGTGAGTGTGCCTGTGTGGAGCAACGGGAACTCTAAAGGGAGCCTATTCCCGGCAGCAACATGACAACCTTGGACCAGCAGTCAGATCCAAGTTCAGCAGGAGACAGACGGCCGGTTGCTAAGCAGAATAACGTTGAACACATTTCGAACCCGACCGAGTCGGCTTGCCTTGCTTGCTAATCAGTGTCGAAAAGGTCTCGCGCAAGCATTCCAAGCGGGCTAACTCTACCCCGCCACGTCCGGCCCGGCCCGGCCCAAACGAAGCCAGGAACACAAACCAAAAGGTGTGCTGTGTTTTTCTCCGCAATCCTGCCAAATCGTTACGACAAGTTTTGCAAAGAAAAGATCAGTCATCTAGTTCACTTCATTATCTCTCTATCACGCCTCAGTTCGCCCCTCGCCAGGGCTTGAGGCACTTCGCCGATGTGCTCAACGCCCTGAGGTCGAGCACCTTAGTCGATCTCATTGCAACAAGGTCGCTCTTGGACTGAATGATATTGCCAATCAAGACTATGGGGCGCTACAAGCATTGATTCATCGTATATTTCCCTCTTTCTTTTTCTTCTCTTTTGGAGATCCCAGCTTTAACCTTGACATACATAACTACAATTTTCAGTGATGCTTTTGCTCAGTCTCCCACTCCCGTTCCCAAATTTCGTCAATAATATCGCCGCTGCCTTTGACGCACTTCCAGTGCCCCATTCCGTACTCCTTCGGCGCAACTCGACAACCTCTGCCACCTCCACCCACAATCAAGTTGCCAGGTCTATACTTCTCATCGCGCTCCATTCGTCGTATCACGCTTCCATGGATTCTGACTTTGTCGGGAACATCCCGGACTTCTCCCCTCGGAAGTGGCCATCTGATGGGTTTCCAACTGCCGTCTGGCCTAAGGTCGAGTCTTCTGAAGGGGAGATACTCCATCACTCGCCACATAAAGACGCTGGCACGATGCATGCCACACCTGAAGTCAAGCGAGTCGTGTATCTTGGCTTCGTGGGCCGTCTGCATCATCACGTTGAACGGCAAGGCTGTGCAGGTGTGCGTTAATGTGTCCGAGTTTGTCGCGTTTTCTGTAGCGGAAGCGGTGGGCGATGCGGGCTGGAAGTCGATAGTGGGGGAAGGCGCATCGACATGAATCTCCGGGACTGCGATCGCCTCCTTCGGCATGGGAGATGACGATTGTCTTGCAGTTCGCGTGTCTGCTCCGGCTACTGATTCAACACAACCCAGGTACTCGAGCTGATCGAGATCAAATGTCAATCCTGCTCGCATGGCTTCTCTCACCATCCACACAAGGGGTATGTGACTGGCATTCTTTTGGCCAGGAACGGCGTCCCATCCTCCGCCTATATCGCCATGCCCTCCGGAGAACCACACCTCATCGACATCCTGGTCGGCCTCGTCGTCATCCGAGTCGTAGGTGAGGTCTTCCATGGGTGGCTTGGAGTTGATGGACGAGGCATCGTGATCCGTATACGCGTTGCCTGTCCGTTCGGTTGCCCGAGATCTGGACCTGGAACGACTACGGAAAGGAGCCGGATGGTCTGCATCTTCCTCTTGTAGGTGTACTCGGCGCCTACCACGGTCTTCTTTCGCCACGGCATCGTCAGGTGCAAGTGTTGATCGCCGACCTGGACGATACTTTTCTTGGAACTCCTGCACTTTTTCGTTCAGGGGGTGGTGGTGTTCTATTAACCGCTTGGCTGCATTTCTTCTCCGAGACCTCTTGGGCTCTTGGTAAATGAGATCCTGGCGAAATTTCGCGCGTCGTTCATCAATACTGACAGCATGCCTGATGACTTTAGCAGAGCTTCGCGCAGTGTACGGAAACTTGCTGCGCTGCATCCATGCCGTTTCGAAGCGCGGCACGCTGTTCACGGTGTCGAACAATCCCAAAAAGCGGATTCGTCTTATCGGTCGCGAGAATGTTTCCCTGAAGCCTTTGAGAAACTGATACATCTTCTCTCTGTCTTCTTTGCCCTCCGGTGTTGAGTTTGTTCTTCTGCATTGCCATTGGGAAAATGAGCTCCACGCGAAGGCGACCATTTCCTCGTTGCCATGGGCAAGAAGACCGACAAAGTCCAACATCTCAGCCAGGAACCTAGCAACATAAGCACCTCGAGAGAAGCCAAACATATAAATATCGTCTCCCGGTGAGTAGTATCTCATCAAGAATCTGTATCCGCCTACAACGTGCTGGTCAAATGACGAGCCGACTGCAGAGTCCTTGGCCATCTGGTACCAGGACTTGCATTTGGCTCTGACACCACTATGCGTTAAATTTTCTGAAACAACATATGTCCCTATGCCGGCTGTAGGAATGCATATTCTCAGTCACATGAAGTACAAATACAAAGGTGGCAGCACTCACGCTGATAGTAGTGGTCTATGACCGGTGTCAGCCTTGTTATCCCGAAACGATTGTACGAATAATGCTAAAATCTCACATTGATCATCCGCATTGCTGTCGAGCATGCGGAAAATTTTGAGAATATTGCTGTCGCTGTCATCTCCACGAAACTTGTTACCGGTACCGTCGAAACATAGGATCAACTTTCTACGGCCACCGCCGTGCGGGCCTCCTCTACAAGTTCCGCTGGCACATTGGTCACTCGTGTTTGGTTGATGTCGACTGTTCCTCGAGGGATCGCGCAAGTAAGCCTGCATTTTGAGATAGGGAAAGGAAAAAAACGCAAGATCAAGGGAGGCTATGTCCAAAACGTATCGAGAGTCTAATGTTTCTGGTAGGTGTTGGATCAAAGTTGTCCTTAGTGTTGGCGAATATCAGATGTCATATACAATCATCTTTGCCACAGAAGACTTGGCACGACGACTAAGATTGAGACATTTTGCAGCCCGTCACGTATTGATGGAACGGTGTTGTTCACCCAGGAAATCTGTCTGTTTCTGACTAAGGGCCATCGTGAAGTTCAAACAGATGATTCGGACTTGATCTGCGTCACCAAGCCGAACTTGGAACTCTGTTTCACTCACACTGCTAGACAGCATACCGAATTAGTAGACGGGTATGGCATGTTAGAAGCCCTACTTTTGTCAAAATTTCTCAACCTCGCAAGTCGGCGAATCAGCAAGAAAATTCAACTGACCAGATCCGGCATCGGTTGCAGTCTCCAAGGGTCACCCAGCTTCCGCCTCATGAGACCAGCTTGAGACAGGTCTAACACTCGTGCTCAAAAGAGAAAAGATAATATCAAAGTACGGCAAGCTCGGACAAGCACTCCAGGCGTGCCAAAGGGGGGGTTCTTGGAGCAGAGGGAGACATAGCCGATTTCCATATATGGATAGGAAGGGAGAAATGTTTCGAGCTTGGCAATCCTCGAGATATGACACCAGAAACGGAAAGTAAGATCACGAATTGCGCCCTTGTTTCGGACATGGTTATTCCGAGACCTGCTTATACGCCCCGTTGCTCAATTGCACATGCCTACGTGCTGCCCAATCCCTGAGGAAACATGTGGGTATGCGGTAAGGCGCGAGACATGAGTGCGCCAAGTCTCACAAACTGCTCTGGCATCCCGTGTAAGACAGTCAAGACAGTCCATTTAAGTAGGTAACGTATCTAAGGATAGGATCGACTCGATATTGATGACGCATAACAACTATTGCCTGATCTGCAAGTAAGTGAGTTCTGAGACAAGGCCGATCGTTCGTAAATCTCTTTTTAAGTTCAGTTTCCCACCATTATTTTGCGCCAAGGAACTCAAGATAACATCCCTAGTAGGTAGCCAGCACGCCACTAACATACCGATCCGTCCAACGATGCTCCCTCGAAGGAGCAACCGGCTGCAATGCTTGCATGCCAGCATAATTCGAAATCACAATGCCTGTAGTACAGCATATACGAACACCATGCATGTCTGGTTGAGCACACGTGAAACGATCTCAAGTGACATGTAAATTGGAGTGGCTCAGGCAGCTACTACAAAGCATCCAAACACCGGTATCTTCCTGAAATGAGAAATAGAGGTCGGACCCGGATCATCGTGAACGTTGTACAACATCACACCCGATAAGTTTCCCCACCCCGCTTTCGTTGAAGGATTGCCCACGTAGCGGCACAGCGGTTCCCGAAGGCGCGTCTCACGATACTAAACTAGTGTATCGGAAGATGCCGTAAGGGAATGGGCAGCAGCCAGGTCAATCACTTTCTCTAACGCTGATTGCACCCTGGTATTCTAGTATTAAAGTCTGACGAACGGAGCTTTTGCGGACGGTTGCAGCTGCTTATTTCACTGATCTACCGTAGGTGTAACGCTACCAACCCGGGGCCGCTCAAGTGGAACATAGTCTTAGACATTATCTGAGACTGTTCGACATAATCGCAGGGTATCTATTACACCTGGTATTTGTGCTCATAATTCATTCTTACCCAGCAAGGTGCTGAGAAAGTAACAATGCCAATTGGCTCGAGCATCCAGTATGAGATGGCAGTGTGAGCAGTCGCACTCTGCATGGTAGAGATGTAAGGTATAATAATTGGGTGTGGTTTCCTTGGTTCCCTTACGGAAAGATTTTCTCGATTGTGGTTGCCTCTCCTCAACAATTGCTCTTCACAAGCTGCCGCAAAATGAAGACTTATAGGAACGGAAGTAATTCAAGTGCAGGCGCCGATACATACAAGCCCTCCACTACTGATACCAGCATGAAGAATCCTCACCCTACCCCAAGTCGAGCAGACCCTAAGTATGGTTCCCATGATGTCAAGAAAAAAGGGTTCTCGGATATACGCCGGGCGTCCAAGCGACCATTGCCCATGCAGAACGGCGACGGGACCTACCCCTCAGAACTTGCTCGGCCTACCATGGTCCAGAATCTGAAGGCCCTACAGGCCGCAGGTGTGTGAAGAGTCTTGCCATCGACGTAAAGTTTGACCAGATACTGACGGCGAGAGAAGATCTCAAGACACTCGTTCAGATCATCAAATCCAAGATCAAGAGGGAGAAGATTCAAGATGACAAGACTATGATCATGGAACGGACGATTCATATTGTTGCCAAGCTCCCACACAACTCTCGCCTACGAGAGCAACTGACAAACACTTTCATTGAGGAGCTCTGGGGGTCACTTGACCATCCTCCGATGCTTTACATGGGCGACGAATACAAATACCGTCAGGCTGATGGATCTTACAATGTTAGTCGACTGGCACTGAACTCCTATTCACACAATCTAACGGGGAAAATCCATAGAATCCAATGCTCCCCAGACTAGGAGCTGCCGGAGGACCATATGCCAGATCTGTCAAGCCTCGTATCGTCACCCTGGGCGCTATGCCGGACCCGGGCTTGATCTTCGATGCCGTGATGGGGCGCACGAGCTACAAGAAACACCCCAACAACGTTTCGAGTATTCTTTGGTATTGGGCAACCATTATTATTCATGGTTAGTAGACTTTCCTTGTGAAGACTCTGAGGACGCAAGTGTTCTGACGAATGGTAGACCTCTTCTGGACGGACTTCAAAGACATGACGAAGTCCAAAACGTCTGCGTATCTTGATCTCTCGCCATTGTATGGAAGCAACCAGGAGATGCAAAATTCAATCAGAACCTTCAAAGATGGCAAGCTCAAGGCCGATAGTTTCGCTGACAAGCGTCTGATCGGAATGCCACCCGGAGTCTGTGTCCTCTTGATCATGTTCAACCGATTCCATAACCATGTGGCGGAGAATTTGGCTGCTATCAACGAGGGAGGAAGATTCACACCGCCAAGCAAAGATCTCAACGAGGAGAAGACAGCTGCGGCTCTGAAGAAGTACGACGAAGACTTGTTCCAGACTGCGAGACTTGTGACATCTGGCCTCTATATCAACATCACATTGGTCGACTACGTACGAAACATTGTCAATCTCAACCGTACCAACACGACTTGGACACTCGACCCCCGACAGGAGGCTGGCATCGATGCCGGCACACCCGATGGGGCGGAGGCAGGTACTGGAAACGTCAACTCCGCTGAGTTCAACCTTTGCTACCGATGGCATTCGTGTATCTCAGACAAGGATGACAAGTGGATCCAGAAGTTCTACGGCAAGCTCCTAGGCAACAAGGGCCAGATGTCCCCCCAGGAAATGGCCTGCGTTTTTGGGCAGTTCGAGAAGTCTATCCCAGATGACCCTGGCATGCGTACTTTTGCGGAGTACGAAAGGGACGAGGATGGAAAGTTCGACGATGACGACCTTGTAGACTGCATCAGCTCTGCGATTGAAGACTGTGCTGGAGCGTTTGGAGCTCGAAACGTCCCCCAGGTTATGCGGCCTGTCGAGATCATGGGCATCTTACAAGGACGCAAGTGGAATGTCGCTGGTCTGAACGAGTTCCGCAAGCACTTTGGCCTCAAACCCCATGAACGTTTTGAAGACATCAACTCGGACCCCGCTGTCGCGGATCAACTAAGGAACCTCTACCAACACCCAGACTACGTTGAACTGTACCCTGGCCTCGTGGCTGAGGAGGCAAAGACACCCCTGACACCTGGTGTTGGCATTGCCCCCACATACACCATCTCTCGTGTCGTTCTCTCAGACGCTGTCTGTCTGGTTCGCGGCGACAGGTACTACACCACGGATTACAACCCCCGACACCTGACTCAATGGGGTTACAAGGAGGTCGAATATGACTTGAACGTCAACCATGGGTGTGTTTTCTATAAGCTGTTCCTCAAAGCTTTCCCCGACCATTTCAAGGGCAATTCTGTTTATGCCCATTATCCCATGGTCATTCCGCCGGAAAACCACCAAATTCTCACGGACCTGGGAAGAGTCAATCAGTTTGATTTTGAACGCCCCAAACCCATTCCAACAAGAACCAACATCACATCCTTTGGGGGTGTCAAGTACGTCTTGGACAGCCAAAGTCGGTTCAAAGTGACGTGGGATGAGGGGCTGTCCTTCTTGATGGGCAAGGGCGGAAGCCGCTTCATGCTTTCCGGAGACACTGACTTCCACACGGGCCAGAAGAAGTGCATGAGTGCTCAACTCTACCAAGACGACTGGAGTTCTCATGTCAAGAAGTTTTATGCCGAGATTACGGAACAACTACTTCGCGAGAAGTCATACAAGCTTGCTGGTCAAACACACGTTGACATCATTCGGGACGTAGGCAACATCGCTCACGTTCATTTCGCCGCCAGAGTGTTCAATCTCCCTCTGAAGACACACAAGAATCCCAAAGGCGTCTTCACTGAACAGGAGATGTACCAGATCTTGGCAGTCATCTTTGTCTGCATCTTCTTTGACATCGACCCAGCCAAGTCTTTTCCTCTTCGCCAAGCCGCGAAGGAGGCAGCGCAGTCGCTGGGCAAGCTTATCGAGACGAACGTCAAGATCACTACGAAGACTGGACTTCGTGGGATCTTCACTGGCTCAGCAGACAAGCAAGACCCTCTCGCATTGTACGGAACCAACATGATCAAAGGTCTCGATAAGGCCGGTCTGAGCACTTACGATATCGCTTGGAGCCAGATTCTGCCTACATCGGGAGCGATGGTGCCAAATCAAGCTCAAGTTGTATGTGATCCATTCGTGAACTCTTCATGCTACTGTGCTAATCCATACCTAGTTCGCTCAAGCGGTTGATTACTATCTCTCACCTCCAGGGTCGAAACACCTCGATCAAATCCATGCCGTTGCAAAGGCACCCTCTACTAAGGAGTCTGATGCTGTGTTGCTTGGCTACGCCATGGAGGGCATTCGACTTGCTGGCACGTTCGGTTCTTACCGTGAGGCGGTCCAAGACGATGTCATTGTGGAGGATGGTGGTCGAGAAGTGCCTGTGAGAAGGGGAGATAAGATATTTGTCAGTTTTGTGAGTATTCGTACCGCCCATCCCGACTTTTGTGACTTCTCCTGACCGCCATGACTTGCAGGTATCCGCCGCGAAGGATGCGAACCACTTCCCTCATCCAGAGGAGGTTAACCCGCGGAGGCCTATCGATTCATACATCCATTACGGCCTTGGCCCGCACTCTTGCCTGGGGCGCGACGCAAGCCAGGTTGCTCTTACAGAGATGTTCAGAGCGCTCTTCCGGAGGACAAATGTCAGGCGCGTGCCGGGGCCCCAGGGACTATTAAAGAAAGTGCCAAGGCCTGGTGGTTTCTTTGTGTACTTGAAGGAGGATTGGGGTCAGATTTGGCCGTTCCCAGTTACCATGAAGGTGATGTGGGACGATGAATGAGTTGCGTCGTCTACGGATACTCTACCGGTACTATAGATCTGCGTCCCATGATATGACTCGGCGACGGATAGCTTGCCGACCGTGGAGAATGGAATAGAATTTTCCAATCGGGCTTCTGTCTACACGAATCAGTCAGCAACATTGAATTTTTGTTGAATGGAATGAATTTCCCATTGCTGTGAAAAAATCGGGCTGCTTCAGCTGAGGCCGACCCTTCTCGGAGAGTATCCGTGGACCAGCGTCACAAGTATCGGCATCTCCACCTGGCACCCCTGCATAGCCCTGGGAATTGAAAGGGGATTGGCGAAGGCCAGTTATTAATGGCATTCTCTGTTTCGCCAGCACGGAAGAATAGTATGGAATCGCCAGTGGGCACATCATCCCTTGACAGTGCAGTCGCAGTGAGCAGGCGGTAAGACACATATTTTGGCAGGCTTATCAGGGTTATCATTGGAATTAGGCGTATCTTAGGTAGTAGAGAGTCTCGTTGTCTTATCCGTGAACAAGTATCCCTACGCATGCGACTACGGAAGGGAGGAGAGCGACTGCCAACGCCGAGACAATTGCCGCGCGGTTTTGAACTACTCGTGAATTTTTTATTGAGGCTTCAGAATGTCCTGAATTCTAATTCGGCACCGAACCTGTCGGTGATATCGGTGGTGTTCTTGCTATGTCTAGTGAGGAGGTGCAGTCCTATTGTCTTTCGTTGTTCGTGCGGAAAGAGAGAGAACATCAAGACTTTGCATGGAAGCCAAGACTTTAGATCTGCTGGGGCCAGATTGGATCATTGGGCCAGGTAGCTGGAAATCCCAGTTTCTGGATATATCCGTTCGTGGCACCCAGCAGATCCGCCTGGGAGGGTCAGCAGTGAGGGGCCGACGCATGCAGCACGTAGCATCGGAAATTAAGGAGACACAAAGGCGGTGGCCCCAGCGCGCCTGGCGGTTGACAGGTTTAACAGTCTTGGAACAACTTGACAGCCGGCGGCTTTGCAAATGAGCGGCCCGCGCTGTTGGGCTGAGCTGGTCAAATCATGCGCGCGGCCCATGGCATCCACTCCTACGAAGACAAGTCCATTTCCAACCATTTTCCCGGTCTCTCCCTTGAAATGTGTCGGTGCTTCTCTGTGAGGGGAAGAATCAAGACCAAAAGAGCGACAGTGAGACTACGAGAGAATCCTTGATTTGGGCAGCGGGATGCCGGAGGTGGGTAAGTGTTTTCCCCCCATATCCCCCTTTCTTCTATCATCTCTTTGTAACAGCCGCAGTCCAATTGGATAAGAGGAGTCGAGGACAGCTTTTGGATCATTCTTGGACCTCGGACGATGGAACCCCCACTCGCGGCCCTGACGTTGGCCAGTGATGTTTGGTTGCGTTTATTAACTTCGGACGGCGTTCGCTTTTTTTCTGTTTCGCATAGCCAAGCAACCCTGTCGTTTTAATATATCTGGGGTACAGCAACCAACCGCGATATCCACTCGAGCGCGTGGACCATCGAAGACCTTACGGATGGAAGAGGACGAGAAAAGAATTAGACTGGAAAAAGTCTAGACACCCCTAGCCAGGTGAGGGTCAGCCTCGCAGACCCACGTTCTTCCCAGGGGGCCATGTGTTGCAAGCGCATCGCCCAACCTGTCATATCGTAGAAGGCACTTAATCCCGGGCCGTAGCACCGGCACTGCTTGCCTAGCTCGGCCGGGTCTGGATCGTGCTCCGGGATGGCCCTCCGAGCGGACGTCACCCGACGGACCTCGCTCTTCTATCCGAATGACTCGTTTTACCATTGAACATTCCCCTATTCGCTCAAGGGCGTCAATGGCGGTGGCTCATCTTTCCATCGTCAGGCGATGATACCAACCTACATCACTATATCCACGCTGCCGGGTCCCGACAATTCCCACAATCTTGGCCGGATCAGTGCGGATCTACTCCGTACAACATCAGATGCATTTTGCTGACCCCCTCCGAATGGGGCTGGAAACTGGGGGTAGCCATGGTACTTCGCAGCCGTCTGTCCCGATTTGGGTCTTGCATAGCCATGGGTTCTTGCTGTAGGCAAGACATATAATGGTTGTCACACCTCCTCTGACAACGTCTACCTCCTTTTGGCCCTTCTCTCCAACAACTTCACTTCTGTTCCCATTTGCGCTGGTTGCTCTTCCACTTTCTTTTGCCCATCTGCGACGGGTGTACACTCTCTTTGACACTCCCGTGTTCCATTCATTTCCCACCAGACGCATTTTCCGCAAACTCACGTCAGATTCACACATTCACTTCTAGGCCAAACCCCACAATCATTCACCATGTTCAAGTCCCTACTTACCACGGGACTCTTGGCTGCGGCTGCCGTAGCCCAGCAGACAACCTCATATGTCGACTCCGCAACTGGCATCACCTTCCAGAGATACACCGAAACCTCTGGATTCTCGTTCGGTGTTGCCCTGCCTTCGACTGTTGGCAAGGACTTTATCGGCCAGATCTCTGCTCCCATCACCGCGGGATGGGCTTCTGTCTCTCTGGGCGGTCCCATGGCCAACAAGCTCCTTGTCGTTGCGTGGCCCAATGGAGAATCTATCCAGACTTCCATCCGCAAGGCGTCAGGATACTCGAACCCCGACGTTGTGACCGACTCCGGCATCACTCTTAAGCCTATTGAGTCTGGCACCTCCGTCAACGCCACTGCCTTCACTTACACCTTTGTCTGTGAGGGATGCATCACCGGTGACACAACCACCTTCACCGGCACCTCTGATACCACCACCTTTGGCTGGGCTTACTCGACCACCGCCCTCTCTGACACCACCAGCGCTTCCGTCGCTCTCAACTACCACGGTGCTGGATTTGGTCTTTTCGGCGCAAACCTCGCCTCTGCCAAGTCCGCCGATTACGCGACTTGGGCGGCAAAGGCTTCCGATGCCGTCTCCACTCCCGGCACTGGCAACGGAACTTCCCCGTCCGTCCCCGCCAACATCACCACTACGATTTCCAACACTACTTACGATTACATCGTCGCTGGTGGCGGTGCAGCTGGTCTCATTGTTGCCGAGCGCTTGGCCGAGTCCGGAAAGAGCGTCCTTCTTCTTGAGCGTGGAGGAGCTTCTTTGGCGTCCAGCGGTGGCAAGGCTACTGTCGACTGGAACAGCACTGTCACCCAGTACGATGTCCCTGCCATGGGCTACTACCTCTCGACCGCCAAGGAGACCAGCGAGTACTGCACGGACACCGCTTCCCAGGCTGGCTGCATTCTCGGCGGCTCTACCATGGTCAACGCCATGATGTGGGTCAAGCCTCCCGCGCATGACTTCGACGACAAGTGGCCCACGGGCTGGAAGTGGAGCAGCGTTGAGGAGTCTGCCAACAAGCTCTACGAGCGGACCCCGGGAACCATTCTCGCCAGCAAGGACGGAAAGCGTTACGACCAGGGCGCCTACGATGTCATGTCCCAGTGGCTGGCCGGCAACGGCTTCAGCGAGGTTGACGCTCTCGCCGAGCCCGACAAGAAGCAGGCAGTTTTCACTCACCCTCCTTGGTTGATCGAGAACGGTATGCGCGGCGGTCCCGTCCGTGACTACCTGCCCCTCGCCCAGGCTTTGCCCAACTTCAAGCTGCAGCTTAACGCCAAGGTCATCCGTGCTATCCGCAACGGTACCACCATCTCTGGTGTCGAGATTGAGACCGCTACCAACGTTCGCCAGATCATCAACCTGAAGTCCGGTGGCGCCGCCATCCTGGCTGCTGGTGCTCTCTCTTCCCCTCGTATCCTGTTCAACAGCGGTATCGGCCCTAAGGAGCAGATCCAGACTGTTCAGAACGGAACCGCTCAGGTCACTCTCCCTGCTGAGGCCCAATGGATCGACCTCCCCGTCGGTCAGAACCTCAAGGACCACCCTATCTTCACCGTCAACTTCAAGACCAAGTCCACTCTCAACTCCCTGGCCAGCACTGCCTTCACCGCCCCTAGCCAGACCGATGTCGACCAGTTCGCCCAGGGATCCGGACTTCTCAGCCAGGCTGGACAGCGCCTGAACTTCTGGACCAGTGTTGAGGGCTCTGATGGTGGCAAGAGATACGTCCAGGGCACTGTTAACTCTCCTGCCAACGACACCATCCGCGTCAAGGTCTATCTCACCCACGGTCTCACCTCCGTAGGCGCTCTCGGCATCTCTGCCGACGGCTCCACCAAGCTCACTACCGAGCCTTACCTCACCACCGCTGAGGACAAGGAGGCTATCACCAGCTTCATGAATCAGCTTATCCAGTACGCCTCCAAGTCCAACAGCACCCTGACTCTGTCCGGCAACGTCACCGCCGAGAGCCTCATTTCCGAGCACACCACCGGCAGCCACTTTGTCGGCAGCGCTGTCATGGGCTCCACCAACGACGGAAACAGTGTCGTTGATACCAAGACCAAGGTCTGGGGCACTGACAACCTCTACGTTGTCGATGCCTCCATCCACCCTGACTTGCCTACCGGTAACACCCAGGCTATTGTCATGGTTGCTGCCGAGCACGCTGCTGCCCAGATTCTTGGAGCTGGAAGCGCTACCAACTCTGGCTCTGAGTCTAGCTCCGGTTCTGGCTCCGGTTCTGGCTCTGGTACCGGCTCTGGCTCTGGTACCGGCTCTGGCTCCGGCTCTGGTTCTGGCTCTGGCTCAACTGGTTGCAAGCGTTCTGTC